CCCCAAAACCCCAAAACCCCAAAACCCCAAAACCCCTCTAAGAGAGTCTAAAATTGAGACTTCTTATAAAATTAATTGTGAGCAATATGGAATCAGACTCAAAAGAAAATGACTATGGGTCTTCAGAGCGATACCATGATTCTTTCTCAGAAGAAGCCAAACAGATCAACTTGTCTCTAAGATATGATACTGCAGATAATTTCGTTGGTGTAAGTAGCCAAAGAAGTTTATTCGTTGACCTTCAAGATGGAATAACGAATATTTATATTTATTTATCGAGGAAATTAGAGTATCTAAAATGATGAAAATTGAAAATTTAGAGTTCCAAGTTTCCTAAAATTGTGATGTGTTTAAATAACCGACAGAGTCCATTTAAAAGATTCGATCTTGTTTAAACAAATAAGGAATATTTCAGTTTCATTCTTATCAAAAAAGACAACAATTATGAAATTATAGCAAGACCAAGAGTTCCTTATCTTTATTATTCCTAAGCCTGATCTTTTCTATAATCCTCACTATCAGCGAAGTTCTTTTACATCACTGGACAACTAATTAATGCCCCTATAGTCAAGTAAGAACATATTCATGTACGGCGACGAAATGCCCCAAGATCTCAGGTAAGACATACCAACCAGAGAAAATACCAACATTCACATATTAAAATGCAATATATAAATCATATCAGGCTACAAAATTCTCCTATATAGACTAAAACCCCACACCGTCAACAAGAAAGGAACAACAGTAACCAGAGACTCTGAAAACACAAAATCAAGCAAGGACAGGCCCAAACACAAGAAGAGATCTGATCAGGAAGGAAGAAGAAGCTTAATGAAATAGAAGGAATAGGCTTGCCAATATGTTTATAAAGAACATGAGCACGCAGATGAACGAACTTAAGATAGAGCAGTACGGAAGTGCAAGAGTGATTGATAATGAGCTAGAGAAGTATAGGTATAATATTTATTCAATCTCTTTCTTGGCTATTCTTGGTGTGCTGATATGAGGAGTAGAGCAAGAGTTGTTTATTAAGTATGGGAAGAATCATGAAACTACTGACCGGGTCATTCTTTTGTCGGTTAATCTATTTATTACTTTCTTAGTGATTGCTTTAACAATTATGTCATATTTTCAAGAAGTGTTCATCCGGAGAGCAGAAGGTGTCCTTCTTACTATAGATACCCTTGATAAGGAGAGAATCATTTGGTTGATCTTTGAAATTGTACTCAATTTAATTCATCCAATGCCTTTCTTGGCGAATGCCACATTTCAAGAGAAGATATATGTTCTTGACATCTCGCTTCCCAAGAGATATGATTGAGTACTTTATCTTGCAATGCTTCACATTCGTTTCTATCATTTCCTGCGACCATTTTTGCTTTCCTCTGATTTCATGACAAACCGAGCCTTCAGGGTTTGTAAAATAAGCAGGACCGATTGCAATTATTGGTTTGCCATTAGAAGTATTTTCAAAAAATACACTATGTCAGTCACTTGTTGGCTGTTTGTATTCTGAACAGCATTTTATGGAGCTCTCTTGAGATTTAACGAAGGTTCAGCCCACGAGCTTAATGATGAAGTACAGAATTTTAACTGGGACAACTCCTTCTGGTGAGCCTATATTACTATGACTACTGTGGGTTATGGAGACTTTTACCCAGTCACTGTCTTTGGAAGGATAGTCGGTGTCTTATGAAGTCTTGTAGGAAGTCTTATCCAATCCTTGGCTGTTATTGCCTTGTTTGAAGTCCTGGAATTTTCACCTGGAGAAGTCCTATCTTACAAATTACTTCATTTTTTAAGGAAATAAGGACAAATTATTGGAGAGAGCGGCAGGAATGATGATTTCCATGTTCAGATTTAATAAGTATAAAGCCAAGAAATATCTCATGAAATACTCTAACAACAGTTGGCTGTTCCGTAAGACCTCATATAATCTCAGGGTTGAGTATATCTCCAGGCTCACTATTGGCGACCAAATAAGAAGAGACATTAAGGGTGTCAAGAAAAAGACTAAAAATATTATAAAAATGATAGATGCCATTAGAGATCATGATGACGGTCTCTTCAAATATGATGTAAGACTTTTATAACCCTGTTTAGCAAAACTTTGTACCCAGCAATAAGACCAAGATTAAGATCCCAAAGAGTAGTCACATCCATCATCCCAAGACTATGGCTCGTCTAATTGAGAAAGAGAATGCTCCAAGTTTTGAAGACTCTTTGTTTGGTGGACATCTCTAGAATTAATTATCCCAACAATTCAGCCTTTCTTAATTGAAATGGGGTTTTGGGGTTTTGGGGTTTTGGGG